CCGCCGCCGCCCTCGGCCGCGCCACCTCCTCCCTCCCCTCCACCACCATCCCCGCCGCCTCCCTCTCCACCCCCTCCATCGCCTCCACCACCCAGCCCGCCGCCTCCCTCGCCACCGCCCCCGTCGCCTCCTCTGCCAAGCCCACCACCTCCGTCACCGCCGCCCCCACCTCCGCCTCCATCCCCGCCACCGCCAAGCCCTCCCCCACCGAGCCCACCTGAGCCCTGGTCTGACAGACTGACAGCAAACCCCGGACAGCGCCTGACAGTGCCCTACAGCCTGACAGCGCTGACAGCACTTTCTCTGACAGTCTGACAGCACATATCTGACAGCCTGACAGCAGAGCCTGACAGGCGAGGTGACCCGTCGCTGTCAGGCCCTAACGTGACAGCCTGACAGCTGCCTGACAGCCCGACAGCACACAGTGGCCTGACAGCAGCGCTGACAGCCTGACAGCAGCACAGACCGTACACAGACCCCGTAGAGCCTCTTTCTTGCGCCCCATGAGGGTATAACAAAATTACATGCAAAGACATGTGAGTGTGGTCCATGTAGTCATGGGATGGTCATGGGTCTCTCTTTCAACCCTCCCGCCCCACCTCTGCGGACCCCTCTCCAGCACCGGCGGCTGTGCTACTACAAATGAAGCTACCAGCTAGCCTTCTGGGGCCCTACAGTCATATGCCTACGGCGTCTGGGTGGGGGTGGCCGCCGCCGTCTGTGCCGCCGCCGCCGCCTGTGCCTCTGCGCCGCCATCTGCGCTCCCCAGGTGGCCGCCGCCGCCGGCGTGATCACGCAGTGTAGGAGGGGGGGGTAGCTGCGTAGCCGCCGGCGTCATCGGCGTCAGCACCCCCTTGATAGTCAGCGCCCTCTTGATAGTGTCATAAGTGTGGCTGATGTGTGTCAGAGCCTGGCAGCACCCCGACAGCACCACCTGACAGCACCTGACAGCAACAGCCCAACGTCTGACAGCAGCAGCAGCCTGACAGCTCTGACAGCTCCGACAGCGTCTGACAGCAACACCCGACAGCTCCGACAGCACCCGACAGCTACAGATCACCTCGCCTGTCAGACACGCACCCGACAGCACCTGACAGCACTGACAGCACCTGACAGCTGGTCTGACAGAGGCACCTGACAGTGCCTGACAGTGCCCGACAGCCCGACAGATCACCTGACAGCACCCGACAGCCTGACAGCCAGGGCTCAGGAGCCCACCGCCTCCCTCCCCGCCACCACCCTCTCCCCCGCCACCCTCGCCGCCGCCGCCTTCACCGCCTCTCTGGGAGGGCGCGGGGGCCCCAGAGGGCATCCATGGGGGGGGGGGGAGATGGGGTCCCATGGCCCGCCGCATTTGGGCAGCAGCTGGTTCGACAGGTCCTCTCCGTGGCCTAAGCGGCCGAGTCCGCCAGCGCCCCAGGTAAAGTCTAAAGACAGCGCCGTCGCCGGTGAGGGCGAGGCTATGGTCCTCTCCTGCCGACACGGCGACGACGCGCTGGCCAGCAAAGACCTCGATCTTCTTCGGCAGCAGCTGGGGCTGCTGCCTCGTCGCCGTGGCCCAGCCGGCCAAGG